GTTATTGCTGAGACTGGGCACAGTCCCACAGCTAATGGGCTTCCTTCTATTTCCATGGGTGGACTCCCTTAGGGAAGTCTTTCTGAAGCTTATCTTACCCAGTACTGTTGCAACCTGAGAGCTAGGTGTCCCCAGGTCAGGGTGCAGATCCCCAGGCAGGCTGAGGCATGACAGCCTCCTGGAGATTGAATCCCTGGGCAGGTCAAGGCAGGTTGGCCTCCCGAGAATTGGGTCCCTGGGCAGATCAAGACATGACGACCTCCTGGGACCCCTGGACTGGCAGATCCCCAAGCACGTTGAAGTGTGACAACCTTTCGAGAACAAGATTCCCTAGGCAGATCAAGGCAGATTGAGCTCCTGAAACCCCCAGACTGGAGTTGGGCATCCCCAAGGTCTCCAGCATGACCAGTGCTGGGTAGGATTAAGGGGTTGTAATTTTAACTCATTGCCTGTTTTTTCACCACAGATGGGAATAGATATCATGATGTGAAGCAATTCAAGCCTATACCCTGAGACTGGGAAACAGTGAAACAATCATAAGCTTTATCCTCTTACTGCTCTAAGTGATTTAAGTCATTGATTTCTTCCCCTAGTTCTCCATTAGAGCAGGTTAGGGTGTCTCCCCTGGTAAGCACTGTTGGCATAAACCCACTTTAGGTAATAACAGAAGTAATGACAAAAGAGTGGGTTATCTGGCCCTATTAGGTGGAGAAGGCAATGGCAACCCCTTCCAATACACTTGCCTGGAGAATCCCAGGAACAGAGGAGCCTGGTGGGCTGCCATCTATGGGGTCGCACAGGGTCGGACACGACTGAAGCAACTTAGCAGCAGCAGCAGGGGCATCAAGTGTTTTAATAATAGACTGGGTGGAGCAAGGGGGCAGGGTCCTGATTGTAGGAGTTAGTAATTGGCTTAAGAACAAATTTGTTAAGAGGCAACAGACCAGATGTTCTGTAAAAGTGGAGTGGAGATTTGATCCAGGGGTATGTTCTCCCTTTAGGAGAAGGGTGGTAAGGGTTTGGGCCCAAACAGCCTGCAGGGCTAACTCCCAAAAGTGGAAAACATTATCCCTGGAAGCCCAGTTGCCCTTGAAGGGATGCCAACTGATGGACTTCTAGCAGGCATTGTGTGCCTGTCGCCCACCCTAGCGGGTTCACTGAGAAATGCTGGTGTTGCACATGTTGTAGGAAACATGGAAGATGAAGAGCTGAATATCTAGAGAGATTGGACATTATACAGTACTTCCCTCCCATGGGCCAGATATTTTCTGGTTGTCCCTCCAGAAGATTGTAGAGGCAACATTGTGGGGCCTGATGGGGCTCAGGAAAGGAGCATGAAACAGGAGGGAAAGGGGCAGGGCATAACCTTTGAAAGAATGACGCAGCAGCGCAAGGGCATAACATAAACCGATCAAAATCAATTGGGTCCAAGATAACAAGTCAAATTCAAGGAAACCTTAATGCCCAATCTGTAAGCCAAATGACACACCCAGAGGTGGCAGAACAGCTCCAAGGCACTGTCAAAAACAGAGGAGTGGGTGGTTCCCCAATGGTTGGGTTGATCTTCCCACTCATTAGCATACGAATTCACCCTGCTCGCAAAACCTAGCCAGGCCCCATTCCATGGCCAGAGCCCTCTGCAATGGCCCACACCCTGCGGAGTGTGCTTCTCTCTGATTCCTAACAAATCCACCTCTTATCTATAGCTTTGTCTCTCACTGAATTTTCGCAATGAGACATCAGAGCCTGAGCTTCGTTAGGTCCTGAAGCCAGGGGTCCTGGGTTTCAGCCATGCTCTAGTCCCAGGAGAGAGAGCTGAAGGGCAGGAGGAAAAAACAGTGGGAAAAACATGCCAAGGAATCCCCTTCATAGCCTGCCGGGAAATCTGCTAAATACCTGACCTGTGCTCACAGTTTTCATTGGCCTGATCCTTGGCACAAGGAAGATTAAGGACAGAAGAACTCCCACCGGCTTGGGTAACAGCTACTGAGACTCAGCCTTTGGGACATACCGAAGAGTAGCCTCTCCAGAGTCCCTCAATTGCACCCACTGCCGCCCACCTGTTCGAGGGGAGTTCGAGGGAACAAGAAATGACAAATTGTAAAGGAATTAAGATTTTGTTAGGCATATGTCCCTCCAGCCATAGGAGCGAGGACCTCCTACCTTAACTGGAGGTCTTCTGGAATCTGAGGCTGAGCCGCGTGAGCTTTCTCCTGAGTTCGTTTCTCACTGTCCCGGTTTCTAGCATGATGGGCCTCTTGTCACTTCCCCTGCGCTGGGTTTTCTTCGCATTCCGCTTCTACAGCGGGAGCTTTCGCTAAGTTGGGCTCCTGCTGTGCCTGGCCTCCTCTTTGCCGGGGCTGCGCAGAGGTTGTTTCAGCCAGGTTAAACCAGAGACACAGCACCACAGATGTCAGAGGAGTGTGATCTCCTCAGTTCTGTCTCGTCTCAACAAAAAGTTGAAGTGACGGACGTTAAAGCGTGTCACAGCTCTCAGACAGACCGTGTTGTAGCTCTTGGACAGATCAGTATTACAGGTCTGGGTTACAGCTCAGTTTTATTTAGAAAGTAACAGGAACATACATCCTCGAGACGTGAGAGCATGCCGACACAAAGACGCGAAGAGAATGAGCACGTGTGTTGGGGGGGGGGGGGCAGGGGGAGAGACCCCCTGCCCTTTGGCTCCTCTTTTTATGTTTTTTTCCTCCCCACTGGGCCTGCCCTATGTAAATTGGGCTAGCCTGGAATGTTGTTTGTTCTACCTGAGGTCCTCACTCAGGTCTTCAGACCTTCCTTTGTTCTATTTTCACGGGCTTTTCCCTTCTTTGTCTTTTAGCCACCGCCATTCCGGACTTTTCCATTTTCTAACTACCTAACACTAATTATCTGCATAACCGAATAGAATCATAAATTCTATTATGCTTATTGGAGTATGACCACAGGTCTATTGATAATTGTCCACTGTTAAATACCTAGGCTTAAGGCATACGAATCATGGGTTTAAGGCATATGAATCACTGGTTAACTTTGGTTGTATCTTTCTTTTCTTCAGACTAGTTTCAGAAAATTTGGGGAAGTTGGTTTGAGCGTGTACACTTAGGGTATATAAGGTTTTCTCAAAAAGATGGGGTCCTTGGAGACTCTGCCTTGGGCCCATAGGTGTAATAAAGTGCAGTCCACTATCTTCATTGTCCTTCTGAGTGAGTTTGTTTCCCAGAACACGTGACTACAACATTTGGTGCATTGTCCGGGAAATGCCTCACTTTGAGGAGACAGTCCCATTTGGAACTACTCTGAGGCCTTAAGGCTTGAATCTTCTAGAGGGGTAAAGGTGCCTAGCCCTTCTGGAAGGATTCTGCTTCTCAACACCTGGACCTTTCATGTTAGTAGGCAGTGAACAGCAGCAGGGGAACTGAGCGCTCAGGTGAGGAGCAACCCACCCGGCAGGGTGGAAGAGGGGGCCTGATCACCCCCCTGGGAGGAACTAGAAGGGGCACGGACCCACAGGAGCCTGGAATAGGCAGGTGGCAGCGATTGCTTGATACACAGGTTGACGAGCGTGTTAGGGCTTAGGAAGGAAATTTGTGAATGTCATTTAGGAGGTGGTGTCCACACCATCTTGGGGAAAATTATTACCAAGCAATCGCCAGGGGATTGTTAGGAGAAGAAACTTGGTCTTTGTGTGCTCATATTCTGCCCTCGTCAAGGAGGTTTCCCATCTGCTGTGAAATTCTTGACACCCTCAGAATTGTCAGGCTAGAAGGAGGGGGATACATAAATTGCTATGCCCGCTGTCCGAATCCCCCAGCAGGAAAAGAGAAGACCTCCATGACAATGCAACACGCAAAGGAAGGGAAATTTATTGCTGACTCGAGCCAGGGCCCCTGCTGCATCCAACGCAGTGGTGCAAAGTCAGAGAGCCCCGAGCCCGAGTTTCCACCCACATTTATAGGGTGCTCGATTTCAAACATAAGCAGTGGGTAGTGGGCGCAAGCGGATTGGTTACATGTTTGCAAAGCAATTTTATTGGTACAAACTTTCGCCCGCGGGGGACTTTCCAGGGGACCTTCTTGGAGGTTTACTGGGCGCGTACTGATTAGCTGGTCTCTGGTGGCCTGTTGAGGGCAGATAATTACCCTACCCTCGGGAGAAACTGAAACTTAGGCCTACTCTTAGTTCAGGGCGCCTGTCATGGTGCTAGTCTTGACAGTCTCACAAAATGAGTATGAATTGGCTTTTCTCAGGAAAAGTCAAAACGACCTGGGACATGGGATATTTAACCCATCTGTGTTTTCATCCGCACCCAATCAAGCCCACCAAGCCAGAACAGACTTTAAAAGTTAAGGGAGAAACAGTCTTGGACTACATGGTGGTCTGGTTCAGCCGTGCTGACCAATAGGTGAAGACAAGCTGATCCCCCTTCTCCCTCTGCTATATGGCAGGTAAGGCTCTTCTCTTCTCACCCCAATTAGGAAGGAGGCAGAATGGCAATTTAAGTGTTTCACTGAGTGGAAATATCAGAAGTACATAGGATACCGAGAACTTCAGAAACAAAAGGAAAAGTAGAAAGTCCAAGAAGGTAAGAAAGATGGTGGGGGGGGGGGGGGTGAATCTAAGGCAACTGTACTGGAGTGCATGGTTAAAATTTTAAAGAAGGGATATGGAGGAAACTGAGGTGAAGATGATGCCTAACCGCCTCCACATATTCTGTGAAGTCTAATGGCCCCCCTATGTGAGTAAGATGGCCACCAGAGGACACCATGAACTTAAAAATTAGTGGAAGCAGTCTATACCGTAGTCACAGGAGAGCCAGGACACCTGGGTCAATATCCATATATTGACTCAAGGCTAGGGTTAGCTCAAGCCCCTCCTACTTGGACAAGGTTCTGTATCCAGAAGGGAAAGGGAAAAATATTAATGGCACAAAAATTGACTGATGATCAAAAAAAAAAATTCTACAGGATTTGGATGGGGATGACCTGCCCCCTCCTCTGTACTGGATGATGATGTGCCCACCACCCAGTGACCCACCAGGACCAGCGGCCACCTTAATGCCCGATCCAGGGTCAGGTGAAGTTCCTGCAGCAGTCACTGCTCCTCTGTCAACTCTCCTGGAGATAGTAGAGCCGCCATTTTGGCAAGCTCCGTTCCCAGCGATGGTGACCTCTGGTCAACGCCCCCATGATTCCACCTCAGCCGGACCTCCTAGATTGTATCCACCTCTCCCGGTGAGTACTGATGGGGAGGGGAAAGAAAACACAGGAATTAGACAGAGGCTACGCTCCACCAAGGAACAGGGGGAGAGCTACAGATGCCCCTCAGAGAGCTACAACAGCCTCCGGCTCAGGACGCATGTGGGCACTACCATCCCCCCCTGTAGCCTATTATTACCAGCTATTTTCCTCTATGGATATATTAAACTGGCAGAGACACACTCCACCGTACTCGGGGGAGCCACAACCATGATTAGGCTAATGGAGACTATTTTTCAAACCCACCGCCCTACATAGGATGACATAATCCAACTACTAGTCTCCCTTTTCAGCACTGAGGAAAAACACAGGATCCTAACTGAGGCCAGAAATGGTTCAGAGAAATGGCACCTGAGGGTACTGCAAACCCGCAGTGGTGGGCAGAACTAGCCACCCCGGATGAGAGGCCCAACTGGGACTGTAACACAGAGGAAGGGAGGGGCCACCTGGAGAGATATCGGGTGGCTGTTTTACAAGGTCTCAAAGTGGGGCCTGGAAACCTATGGGTATGGCAAAACCCTCCAAAGTGATTCAAAGGGGAAGTGAATCACCCTCTGAGTTCTATGAAAGACTGTGTGAAGCCTATATACTTTATACACCAATAGATCCAGGCGCTGCGGGGTCTCAGATGCATAAATGCAGCCTTTATGTCTCAAACCTATCCCGAAAATGTCAGATGTGGGGACATCAAGTGACTCATGAATTTTTATACATCCCTGAATGCCCAGTACCTTTGTTGGGAAGAGATTTGCTGTCTAAATTGGGGGCACAAGGGACCTTTGCCCCAACGAAAGACCCACTCTGTGAGTGGGCTCAGCCACCTATTTACTCTTCCTCTTGGTAACACTCAAAATGAATGGAAGTTGCACGATCTCCCAGAAGGGAAACCGGACAGGCTAAACAGTCAAGAGAGAGAGTTAACTCAACAATTCCCTGAGGTCTGGGTAGAAGACAACCCCCCCCCCACCCCCCACAACCAGGCTTGCAAAACAAGTCCCACTGCTAATAAAACTCAAACCCAGTACAATTACATCAGCACCCGCCTTGGGCCTACCAGACTCTGAGAAGTCGTTTTCTCTTTACGTGACTGAAAAGGACAAGGTGGCTATGAGAGTGTTGTCCCAGACCATGGGGACATGGGACAGACCCGTGGCTTATCTCCTGAAATGGCTGGACAACGTTGCCACTGGGTGGCCGGGATGCTTATGGGCAGGGGCAGTTGCTGCAGTTGCCTTACTGGTTCAGGAGGCAACCAAGCTGACTTTGGGCCAAGATATCATGGCAAAAGTCCCGCATGAGGTCAACACTCTCCTGCGAGGGAGAGTAAACGGCTGTCAACATCCCAGATTACTCAATACCAGGGACTGTTATGTGAGAACCCCATGTTACTACTGAGCCTTGTCAGGCCCTGAATCCGGCCACTCTCCTTCCTGTGGGAGAAGGTGGGCCCTCACATGATTGCAAGGAAATATGCCAGCAGACCTGACTTGAGAGACCAGCCAATCCCGGACCCAGATTTGATCCTGTACACCAATGGCACCAGCCTGATGAAACAAAGACGACTGTCAGGATGTGCGGTAGTCATGGAAGAAACCATCACTGAGGCTAGCTCTCTGCCATCACAATGGTCTGCTCAATGGGCCGAACTATATGCTCTAATCTGGGCCTTCCAGCTGTCAAAAGGTAAGAAGACAAACATTTACACAGACTCCAGGTATGCTTTTGCCACGCTCCATGTACACAGGGCTCTGTATAAGGAGAGAGGCCTTTTGACAGCTAGTGAAAAAGATATTAAAAATAAGGAAGAAATTCTGACCCTATTAGATGCTGTCTGGGAACCAGAAAGGGTTGCAGTCATACACTGCTGAGGACATCAATAAGAGGATACCCCTTGGGCTCAGGGAAACAGACTGGCAGATAAGACCACTAAACAAGCAGCCAAGGGCTATAGGGTGACAAGTGAAGCCCCTATTAAAGCTCTCATATTGGTGGAGCTGCCCGAGCTAACGCTCTACTCTCCAAGATACACTGAAGCCCAAAACCAACTAGCCAAAGCAGAAGGGGCCATCAAGACTGAAAAGGGATGGCGGGAATTGCCAAGTGGCAAATTATTGGTGCCGGAGGAGCTGGCGCCCACTCTGGTAAGCCAAACACACCAAGAGACCCACCTAGGACATGATAAACTGGAAGAGCTAATTCAAAAATATTTCTTGGTTCCCTGCCTCTCTTCCCTATGTAGGACAGAATCTCAGAACTGCACTGCCTGCTCACAGGTCAGTGCTGCCTGTCAGCACAGACAGAAACCTCTGGGGATTCAGCTAAAAGTCACCCTGCCCTTTGAACACCTGGAAGTGGACTTCACTGAAATGAAACCTCACAGACCCTACCATTACCTTTTGGTCAAGGTATGTATGTTCTCGGGATGGGTAGAAGCTTTTCCTACCCGGACTGAAAGAGCATCAGAAGTAGCCCAATGCCTGCTTAGGGAGATAGTTCCTAGATTTGGATTTCCTACCAGCATCGTATCAGACAATAGCCCGGCTTTTGTAGCTGATTTAGTACAAGTAAGCAAAACTCTTAGTGGAAATTACATACAGCATATGGGCCCCAGAGTTCTGGGATGGTGGAAGGAACCAACTGGACACTTAAAGAGACACTCTCCAAATGGACCATATAGACTGACTGCTCCTGGGTGGACTTTCTTCCGACGGCTCTGCTCAGACTCAGGATGACCCCACGGTCCCATAGCTATTCTCCATGTGAAACTGTGTATGGGAGGCCCCTCCCATAATAAAACAGGTGTCAACAAATTTGCCTCAGGTAAGGGGGGATGAGATTTCACAGCAGATGGAGCAACTGGGTAAGGTAATAAATCAGGTAACTAAGTTTGTACAAGAAAGTGTGCCGTTCCCCCTTGCGGAACAGATTCACAAAGGGTGCCTGGGGATCAGGTATGGGTCAAGGACTGGAAACACAACTCCTTGGCCCCACATCGGAAGGGTCCATACACTGTTGTCTAACCACCCCTACGGCAGTTAAAGTTGCAGGTGTCACTCCCAGGATCCACCACATGAGGATGAAGAGAGCAGACCCAGAAAACGCTGAGTGGACTGCGCAGAGAGACCCCACTGACCCTCAAGAGACCAAGATCATCCTTAAGAAGAAGAAGGAAAAGAAGATCCCAGACGAGCCCCTTCAGGATGAAGCCACACAATCAACTCCTGCTGCTTGGCCTCATCAACCTGATTTTGAATTTAACTTCAGCTTCATCTGAGGACAATGTTTTCATCTCATGGGCACATTCCTACGTGGACTTCCACAACACCTCCAACTGCTGGGTATGTGGGGCTATGCCTCTGTGGTGGATGGACTTCCTTGGTGGGTGTCACCACTCCACCAATGAGATTTTAAACCATTCCGCTCTTTTCTGGGACAACAAAAAGAGACGTTCCTTTCTCTTGTCAATCATAATCTCTCCCTGCTCTCTTGGTGTAAGCCAGACCTCCAGTCAATAGACTCGGGTCATGGGGTCACATTTGATGTAAACACCAGTTTCATTGAAGTAACAAAAGCCTATACCTCATATTTATTTATTTATTTATTTATTTATTTATTTTTAAATATTTATTTATTTATTTGGCTTTAGTTGTAGCACATTGGATCTTTACTCATGGCATGTGGGATCTAGTTCCCTGACCAGGGATCAAACCCCAGGCCTCCTGCGCCGGGCATGCAGAGTCTTAGCCACTGGACCACCAGGGAAGTCCCTATACCTCATATTTAAAGAACAAAAAGGAAAAAAGCTCCCTGACCAGTAAACGAGAATAGGCCTCTATTCTCTAGGTATGTTGAACAATTCTACCAAGTCTAGGATAATTATTTCTGGATGACCCCAGAAAAGAGTCAATTAATTGCTCCCACCACTATACACTGGGGACAAAAAGAACAAAGGGTAGGGTTTGGTGACCATCCATTAGGCTCAAAAAAACTAAAATATACGGGGTATCTATCCCCCAAACAATGTAAACAAACATTTGAGGTCACATACCACCCCAACCAGTCCATCCATTGGCTAGGCTCTGATTGGAAATATAACCATGGAATCCACTGGGTGGCGGACCAACGGAACCCAATGGCTTTGTGGGCCTAACCTTTGGCCTTGGTTACCAACCAGCTGGGTAGGCCGCTGTACACTGGGATTCGCTTTTGTCCATGGCAGCATAAAGCCTAACCTACAACAAGCCCCAGTAAATCTACCTTATTTGCGTGCTAGGTGGACAAGGTCTGTGTTTCAATGGTATGAGTATATTGCTGCCTTATTCATACCTTCTATAGGGACAACAGATATTAGATTAAAGTAGAAGCCTTGGCTAATTTCACAAAACAGGCCCTCATAGATAATGCTAAAGCCATCCAAGCCTTAAATGAAGAACAAATTCAAATGAGAAAAATGGTAATTCAAAATAGAATGGCTTTGGACATGCTCACAGCTGCTCAAGGAGGGACCTGTGCTATAATTAAGGTTGAATGTTGTATATATCTTCCTGATTTATCTGGCAATGTGTCAGCTGCTTTAGATGACATGAAAAACCAGGTAAAAGCAATGTCAAATGAAAACATTCCTTTCTGCACTTCAGTCCAATCTTGGGTGAAGGGTGATTGGTGGAAAACTAACTATGTTTACCATTGTTATAGTTGCCTTGATAGTTCTGCTTTGTGGACCCTGCATTTTACAATATATTATGAACTGTGTAACCCAAAGGTTGGTGTCGTTCTCCTAAACTGGTGGTCAGAGAGCCAGGGTGCAATATATCCCTATGAGTGATGCTCATACTATGAGATAAGAGCATCAAGAGGAGGGAATGAAGGAGGAAACAGAATAGGTTCCATCTTGAAAGCAGAACTCCATCTTGGGCTGGACTGTGGACTTTGAGCTATATGACCAGTACCTATGGAAACAACATACCAACTGGAAAACCAGAGCCTCCACCACCATGGAAGAGCCCCAGGGCTCATACCTAGACTCTCCATCACCTAAAAGAATACCCTAACAATCTGTGTAACTGAATAGAATCATAAATTCTATTATGCTTATTGGGGTATGACCACAGGCCTATTGATAACTGTCCACTGTTAACTACCTAGGCTTAAGGCATACAAATCACGGGTTAACTTTGATTGTGTCTTTCTTTTCCTTTGTTCAGACTAGTTTCAGAGACTTTGAGGAGGTGGGTTTGAGCACATACACTTAGAGTATATAAGGTTTTCACAAAAATGAGTTGGGGTACTTGGCTAAGAGGAGACTCTGCCTTGGGCCTACTGGTGTCATAAACTGCACTCCAGCATCTGCATCATCCTTCTGAGTGAGGTTGTTTCCCGGAACACCTGGCTACAACAAAGGAACTTACTCCAGATTGCATAGCTTGTAAGTGATAGAGGCAGAATGTGAACTCAAGCAGCGCTGCCTGGGACTCCAGACTGGGAGCATCTCCAAAATGGGCACTGTGCTTCAACCACATGGCTCCTTCATGCCTATCCTGGGATGTAGTGTTAGGGGACCACCCAGATGCCCCTGTGCTTCTGTTGAATTTTATCCTAAATAAGTTGCAAAACCAGAAAGGAATTTTTTTTTTTTTTGGCCTCACTGCATGGCATGTGGTGGTTAAAAATCCATCTGCAAACACTGAAGACACAGGTTATCCCTGGTCCCAGAAGATCTCACATGCCAAGGGGAAACTAAGCCCGTGGGCCCCAACTACTGAGCCTCTACCCTAGAGCCCACTCACTGCAACTCCTAAAGCCCCAGACACTCTAAAGTCCATGGTCTGCAGCAAGAGAAGCCACTGCAATGAGAAGGCCTGCGTGTTGCAACTAGAGAGAAGCCTGCACACAGCAAAGAAGACTCAGAACAGCCAAAAGCAAATAAATAAACTTATCTTTTCAAAGAAAAGAATAAGAAGGAACCCAAGCCATCAGGCTCCTTCTACACTGTGATTCAAGGCCCCAGTCCTTGCTCCCATCTTTGGTTCACAAAGACAGCGCCACCTGGGCTGGCAGTCATCCTCACCAGGTACAAGCACAACTGTGAGTCGTGCATAGCACACTGTGTTTGTTGAGTCTGTAGCCCTCTGGGAGGTGGTTAGGGAAAGACGGGCTATTTGTCATAGTTATTGCTTCTTCCCACTATCATTAAAGAGAGAGGTGGACTTTCCCAGTGGCTAAGATGGTAAAGTCCATCCTAAAGGAGATCAGTCCTGAGTGTTCATTGGAAAGACTGATGTTGAAGTTGAAACCCCAATACTTTGGCCACCTAATGCAAAGAACTGACTCATTTGAAAAGACCCTGATGTTGGGAAAGATTGAAGGCAGGTGGAGAAGGGGATGACAGAGGATGAGATGGTTGGATGGCATCACCGACTCAGTGGGCATGAGTTTGAGTAAACTCTGCAAGTTGGTGATGGACAGGGAGTCCTGGCGTGCTGCAGTCCATGGAGTTGCAAAGAGTCAGACACTACTGAGCGACTGAACTGAACTGAAGATGGTAAAGAATCCACCGGCAATGCAGGAGATGAGGGTTTGATCCCTGAATTGGAACGATTCCCTGGAGGAGGAAATGGCAAGCCTCTCCAGTGTTCTTGCCTGGAGAATCTGGAAACCTGGCCAGCTATAGTACATGGGGTTGCAAAGAGTCAGACACAGATGAGCAACTGAGCATGCATGCATGTTCTGAGGCATGCAGAGGTATAACATGAAGGTATTCTTTCTCCATGCAGACTACAGTTTAAATTGGCTGATTCTGGTGACTTGGGGGCTCACAGGGAAGCAGCGAATCAAAGGGCCCTGAGGAGGCAGTTATAGCAAGAAACTGACCATTTCTCCACAACCTTGAGAGAATGCCAAGGTCTAACTGATCTCAGGTGACCTCAAGCCCACAGCAGCTTAAAGCAGGGTTTCAATTCCCAGCCACAGATTAAGTTTGGGCTGCAAAGGTGAAAGCGCTGAATCTCAGCCACTAGACCTGTGGTCAGTGACACAGGCCCTGGCCCTTTGACTTTGCACAAAAGAAATCCCACAAAGACAGGAAGTAGTGAAACAAGTGAAGTGTTTATTAGGAAGAAAAAGAATACAGTACGTGTGAGTAGACACACAGGCAGACTCAGAAAGAGACTCAGGTGGTTTGAGTCACTTTTATGGGGCATTTCTTTCACCGATGTGCCTGGTTCTGAGTCCGTATTTGATGTATCTCAGGTCCTCACACATGCACACAAGCATTTCTTAGCCGAGATGGATTCCAGCAAAGAGGCCTATGGGTAGACTTTTGACCACCAAGGAGTCTTCTAGTCAAGAAGTTCTCCTTGACTTCAGGAGTGAGAAATATGTGGTCTTGGGGCATCTCTGGTGGTCCAATAGCTAAGACTCCGTGCTTCCAATACAGGGTACCCAGGTTTGATTCCTAGTCAGGGGACTAGATCCCACATGCCACAGTGAAGGTAGAGGAAGATCCCACATGCCACAACTAAGACCCGGTGTGGCCAAAAAAATAAATAAATTGTTTCTTAAAAAAAGAAAAAAATGTTTAGTCTTTTATGTGGGCAGGGCCCAGCCTCCTCTGTCAGTGGTCCTGCTATTGATATTTCAGAGTTTCTGTTCACAGGGAACGAACTCAAGCCGCTTACTCTGGGGTACCCCACTGGCCTCATGCCTCACAACTAAGCACAGAAGCCAGGAAATAAATGAGGACAGCCTTCGGGTTTAAGAACTACAGCAGATGGGTGAACCTCGAGGACATGATCCTCAGTGAAATAACTGTCACAGAAAGGCAAATACTACAGTATCATTCCAGTTCTATGAGCAATTTAGAGTAGTCAGATTCATAGAGAAAAGGTAGTAGAATGTTGGTTGCCAAGAGCTGGGGCAGGAGGCCAAGAAGGAATGAGGTGTTAGTGTTTCATGGAGACAGAGTTTCAGGTTTATGACATGAGGACCTCTGGAGATGGATGGTGGGGATGGTGGCAAAACATTCTAAACGCATTTAATACCACTGAGCTACCCAGGTGGGACTAGTGGTAAAGAACCCACCTGCCAATGCAGGAGATGTAAGAGATATAGATTTGATCCCTGGGCTGGGGAGATCCTCTGAAGGAGGGCATGGCAACCCACTCCAGTATTCTTGCCTGGAGAATCCTTTGGACAGAGAAGCCTGGCAGGCTACAATCCATAAGGTTGCAAAGAGTTGAACACAGCTGAAGCGACTTAGCACATACCATACATTTAAAAGTAGTTAAGATGGAGACTTCCCTGGTGGTCCAGTGGCAAAGACTCTGCGCTGCCAAGGCAGAGGGGGCCCAGGTTCAATCCCTGGTCAGGGAACTAGATCCCGCATATGTGTGGGCATGCATGCTCAGTTGTGTTTGACTCTTTTCGACCCCATGGATTGTAGCCTGCCAGTCTCCTTTGTCCATGGAATTTTTCAGGCAGGAATACAAGAGTAGGTTGCCATTTCCTACTCCAGGGGATCTTCCCTACCCAGAGATCAAACCAGTGTCTCCTCCACTGGCAGGTAGATTCTTTACCAGCTACACCACCTGGGAAGTTCCTGCCTGCTGCAGCTAAAAAAGATCGTGCATGCTGCAACTAAAGATTTCACATGCCAGGACTAAGACCTGATGCAGGCAAATAAATAATTTTTAAATAAATAAATAAGGGTAGTTAAGATGGTCAGTTTTATGTTGTAACTATTTTCACCACAGTCTAAAAAATGAAAAGGAAAAACAAAAAGAACTGTGTCAGGGGAAATCTTTGTTATTACTTGCACATGAAGCTGCCTGGAGATAAAAGGACCAGACACCTACTACATTTTTGAGAGAAATTATGAACTTGGCCTTCAAAGGATCATGACTCTCTGGTACACATAAATCAATACCCTGGGGAGTTTCCTGGCAGTCCTAGGGCTTGGGGTTTTCACTGTGGGCCCCAGGAACTAAGATCCTGCAAGCCTCGAGGTGAGGCCAAAAAAAGAAAACAATGCCCCAGGGTTATGCCATGAGGTCCTTAAAACCATCCCAGTAGGAAATGGAATGAGAAAGCTTCAGAAGTAGTGATAGGGAACAGAGGTCTGCAAGGAACCTCCCAGAGAACAGAGCCAAGGACCAGGGACAAAGACCTTACTCACAGCAATGCAGGAGTCCACCATTCCTGCTTAACTCAATATCTGAATTGCTAAATTCAGTGACTTCTGTGTGTTTCCCATGCTTCCACTGAGGTTTTGGGCTCACTGTGTCTTTAACATTTATTTTGCATGTAGATTGGAAGTTTTTATCTTGTTTTTCAAGTCTGTGAATCACCAGCCACAAGAAACCTGTCCAGAGTTCAAAGAACAGTTGGAACAGGATGCTGTGAACAGAATTCATTAAGCTATGACTCAGAGAGGATGCTCTGCGTCTGAGAAGGAGTGTGTGCCCGTTGAATGACATTGAGTAGAGTGGCACTTCTGCCACTTATGGACATTTGCAGAACTTCTCCCAGTTCTGCCTGGCTAAGAAAATGCCTTCAGATCTTTCAGCACCAAGATATTTACAAGACAAAGAAACCCTCCTCTTGTTAATACTGCCTGCCTCTCAAATCACAACTTTTTAAATTGTAATTGAAGATGAAGGGAAAAGGCAGCTTTTTATGGAGTTTCTGCTGGGTCCCAGGCACTGTTTGTGAATTGCCTCACCTAGAGTATTTCATTTAAGGTTATGGGAGTAACCTGTTTTCCAGTCTGGGGAGTTGAGTGGCGGAGAAACTGAGTATCTGGCGGGGCACATGTTCATGAAAAAGCTAGAGGGGAAATGTAGAGAGAGTGTTTTGTGTTTTTTATCTTATTTATTTATTTTTTTGGTGGTACCAGGTCTTTAGTTGCAGCATGCAGAATTGTTTGTTTGTTTGTTTGCTTAGTCACTCTTAGCGATGCCATGGACTGCAGCACACCAAGCTTCCCTGTCCTCCACCATCTCCTGGAGCTTGCTGAAACTCATGTCCCTTGAGTTGGTGATGCCATCCAACCATCTCACCCTCTGTTGTCCACTTCTCCTCCTGTCTTCAGTCTTTCCTAGCATCAGGGTCTTTTCCAATGAGTCATCTATTTGCATCAAGTGGTCAAAGTACTGAAGCTTCAGCTTCAGTATCAGTCCTTCCAATGAATATTCAGGGTTGATTTCCTTTAGGATGGACTGGTTTGATCTTCTTGCAGTCCAAGGGACTCTCAAGAGTCTTCTCCAGCACCACAGCTCAAAATGAACTCTTAGTTGCTGTCATGTGCGATCTAGTTCCCCGACCAGGGATGGAACCCGGGAGCTCTGAAATGGGAGTGCTTGTGTCTTAGCCACTGGGTCACCAGAAAAGTCCCAGGGAGTGTTTATTTTAAAATTACGTGGCTTCGGGCCAGGATCCTCCTCAGAGCCACCCTCACCTCCTTATTGCGCAAAGTGTATACCACCGGGTTCAGCAGCGGCGTCACCACCGTGTAGAACACAGCCACCAGGCGGTCCTGGCCTGGGCTTCCTCCAGACTCGGGCCTCAGGTAGATGATGGAGGCGCAGCCAAAATGCACGATGACCACGGTGAGGTGGGCGGCGCAGGTGGAGAAGGCTTTGCTCCGGCCAGCGGCCGAGGGGATCCTCAGGAGGGCGGCCACGATGAAGGCATAGGAGAGGAGGATAAGGAGGAAGGAGATTAACACCACGAGAATACTCAGGAAGAAGATGGCCAGCGCTTTGCTGGCACTCTCCGCGCAACTGAGCTTCAGGACGGGGGCGATGTCACAGAAGAAGTGCTCCACCCGGTTGCTGCGGCAGAAGCGCGAGGAGAAGATCAGGCTAGTCTCGATCGAGGCCACCGAGAAGCCGGAGCAGAAAACCAGGGCTCCCAGACCGAGGCAAACCGTGGGTCTCATGATCACCGAATAGCGCAGAGGATGGCAGATGGCCACGTAGCGGTCGTAACCCATCAGAGTGAGGAGGAAGCAGTGACTGCATCCCAGGCCCAGGAAGAAGAACATCTGAGCCCGACAGCCAGAGATGGAGATGGCCTGGTTCTCCATCCACAGACGAGCCAGCATGTTGGGGATGGTGACCAGTGTGTAGCAGGTCTCGGAGAGAGACAGCGCCGCCAGGAAGCGGTACATGGGAGTGTGCAGGGTCCGGTCGGCATGGATGACGGTGATGATGGTGACGTTGCCGCTGAGGGTAACCAGGTACGTGAGGAAGAACAGTGCAAAGAGGGTGGTCCTCAGGTCTGGGAGGTTGGAGAAACCCACCAGCAAAAATTCTGTCACCGGCCAGGTGGCATTTTCCTGCTGCTTCTCAGGAACCTGAGAGGAGAAGGCAGAGGAAATGGAAAAGGACAGTTCAGGAAGGCTCTGCTAAACATCATGTGCCAGTTGGAAAGGATAATCATCCCTGTTTTACAAGAATAAAAAGGAAAGAGGGACAGAAATGAGGCCATTGTGGGACTTCCCTAGTAGTCCTTTAGTTAAGAATCCGCTTTGCAATGTAGGGGACGCAGTTGTCATCACTGGTTGGGAAAATAAGATCCCACATGCTGGGCAGCAGCTAAGCCCATGAGTGGTGCAAGGCAACTTCTGAGCCCCAGAACTCTGGAGTCCCAGCCACACAACTAGAGAGCTGGCAGACAGCAACTACTGAGCCCCCACACAGCAATGAAGATTCCACATGCTGCAACCAAGACCCAATGCAGCCAAATAAATAAATAGTAAAAATAAATAAACAAGAAATGAGGTCATGGTTTTCCTAATATCACACAGCTAGCAGCTCTGCAATAGACAAGAAAATCACAGATATGGAAATAACTTGGGTGCTCATTAACAGATGAATGAAAAAGGAAGATTGGTACATATACACATCAGAATATGATTCAGTGATGAGAAAGAAGGAAATATTCCCATTTGACAATATGAATGGACTTTGAGGACATAATGCTAAGTGTGATATCAGATAGAGAAAGAAAAACACTGTATGACCTCACTTATTTGTAGAATATAAAAGTCAAACTTAAAAAAATATATATTATATATATGTAAGGGTGGGAGTTAGGGATAAATAGTAAAATCGTCATTACCAGGGGTTGGGAGGTGGGTGGAGAATTGGAGAGATGATGTTTAAGTATACAAACTTGCAACTGTCAGGAAATAAGTCCTAGAGATCTAATGCATAGCACAGTGAATATAGACCATTGTGTATATAAACATCAAAGTTGCTAAGAGATTAGATCTTTTTTTTTTTTTTTGAGACTATATCTTAATTGTTGTTTAGTTGCAAAGTCGTGTCTCACTCTTTCATGACCCTTTGGACAGTAGCCTACCAGGCTTCCCTGTCCCTGGGATTTCCCAGGCAAGAATACTGTAGCGGGTTTCCATTTCCTTCTCCAGGGAAACTTCCCAACCCAGGGATTGAACCCAGGTCTCCTGCATTGTCAGGGAAGCTCAGATCTTAATTATTCCCACCATAAAAAAGAAATGATAATTCTGTGACATGATAAGAGATGCTGCTATGGCTACAATGGTGCATCGGTGCTAAGTCGCTTCAGTAATGTTCGACTCTTTGCAACCCTGTGGACTGCAGAGCTGCAGGCTACTTAGTCCATGGGATTCTTCAGGCAAGAATACTGGAGAGTTTTACCATTTCCTTCTCCAGGGCATCTTCCCAACTTCGTGGTCGAACCCACATCTCTCACATCTCCTGCATTGGCAGGTGGATTCTTTACCACTAGCACCACCTAGGAAGCCTGCCTACAGTAGTAATCATATTTACAATACATCAATATAGGATACACCTTAAACTTACACAGTCAAATATATTTCAATTAAAAAAAGAAAAGAGGGATGTCCCTGAGTGTCCAGTGATTAAGACATCATGCTTCCACTGCAGCACAGATTTGATCCCTCATCAAAGAATTAGATCCTGCATGCCCCACATGGCCAAAAACAAGGGGGGAGGGATTATTTTTAATAAAGCAAAAATATGTTCTTAATTTAAAAAATTTTTTTAAGAAAATCACAAGAACCTTATAAGGAGTAAATTACAATATTTGGGGCAGGGAGAGGGGGTAGGAACTTCAGGTCATTAGTCTGAATTCCACTAGAAACAGATCCTGAGGAAAGGATTCAAAAGCAAGTAATTTATCTGCAACGTCATCTCCAAATACACGGGTGGTGGAGTGGTGAAGGGAGACAGACCATAAAAAGTGTATTATCAAGATGTTGACTGAAATGAAAACATACAACAGGAGAGCTGTTAGGTTCAGTTTTATTTGGGGACTTACTAAGCACTGAAGCTTGAGAGAGGGCTGCCCTGGGGGCTCAGACAGTAAAGAATCTGCCTGCAATGAGGGAGACCCAGGGTCGATCCCTGAGTGGGTAAGATCCCCTGCAAAAGGGAATGGCTACCCACTCCAGTATTCTTGCCAGGAGAATTCCATGAACAAAAGAGCCTGGCAGGCTATAGCCCATGGAGCCGCAAAGAGTCATACATGACTGAGTGACTAACACTTCAAAGCTCGACAGACAGCCTCTCAGAGAGCTCTGAGCAACTGCTTGGAAGCGGGGTGGGGGATGGGGGGTGGGAGGGGGTGTGCAGGGGAGTCAGATTTTGGAGAAGTGGGAAATGCAGTCAAGCATGCACCTCAGTAGAAGGTTGCTGCTAGTCACGAGGAGCAGATATCTTATTGATTTTAGTGCTTTTCTAACTTTGGAAAGATGCAAGAAACTCTGTTGTTCAGTCACTAAGTTGTATCCGACTCTGCGAGCCCATGGACTGCAGCACACCAAGCTCCCCTGTCCTTCACCATCTCCCAGAGTTTGTTCAAATTCATGTCCATTGAGTCGGTGATGCAAGAAATTGGGCTCATAAAAATCTCTCCCGAAAATCTAATTATCTGATGAGCTGTTCTGCCAGTTTCCCCAGAGCACTAAGAATTTCATTCCTGATCCCCACACTGAACCCCTTTCAGGGTGTGTGACTGCAGTGGTCTGTGACTCAATCCTTGTAGAGCCAGGTGGCCAGTGACTTTCTTCAGGAGCATTACTACAATGTAATCCCACCTGGAGGTCCTTGAGGGGTGGTGAGGGAACTACGCTGCTTATCCATCAATCCCCAATCATCTTGCTCAAGAGGTTCTACCAGGAGGCATCAATCTCCCAGGACTTCCACACCTGCCACAAGTACAGGGAATTCAGTCTGACAGGTAAGATAGGAAATTGTGGCCAAGGGGATGTGGGCTAGGAATTTACAGAATCCTCTACTATCCATGTGAAAAGGATACCCAAGAAAGGCAAAGCCTGTAACATTGATATCTGAAATGATCAAAGTAATACTTTTAGAAAATTTGACACCCAAGGCTATATAATATCTTCCACGGTCCCTAGGCACTTTTGCCTTCCTCCATAAAAATTGCTTTTGGGGGGAGGGTGGGGCTGGCCAAGCCTCGAGGCTTGTGGGATCCTAGTTTCTCAACCAGGGATTAAACCTGGGGCCCTCAGCAGTAAAAGCACCAAGTTCTAACCACTGGACTACCAGGGAACTCCTGAAAATTATTTTTAAAAAGAGGGAGGAATTCCCTGGCTCCCCAATGGTTAGGACTGCTTGATTCCATTGCAGGAGACACAGTTTCGATCCCTAGGTGAAGAACCAAGATTCTGCAAGCCATGAGACATGGCCAAAGAAAAAAAATTGTCTTTTACTTTTATGTAAATTTTATTTCTAATTTTTATTTAAATAAAATTTCATTTATCAAATGAAATAAAGCCAACTTTTTAATGTATGTAAATTTTATAAAAATTCAAAATTTTTACATTTTTAGGACTGTATTGATGTAAAGATGAATATAATTCTCTAAGAGCTTATTTATTTCTTCTGATCTTAGAAATTTACACAATTTCATGGGCCACCTAACAGTATTTCGGATCCAGGCCTTGTGCTGATAAATACTTCCGTGTTAATTAAATGGAAAATAATTCTGAAATTATTGGCTTTCTTTTTTTTTGCTGTGCTTCACAGCATTCAGGATCTCAGCTCCTGTACCAGGGATCAAACCCATGTCCCCTGTAGTGGAAGCACAGAGTCCTAACCACTAAATCACCAGGGAATTCCTGTAAAATTTTTAACCATTTTAATTCAAATAATGAAGTATTAGTAAAAATCCTGGGATTTCCCTAGTGGTCCAGTGGTTAAGAATTTGCCTGCCAAAGCAGGGAACACAGGTTCGATCCCTAGTCCGGAAGGATTCCACGTGCCATGAGGCAGCTAAGCCTGCGCACTACAACTACTGAAGCCTGCATGCCCTGGAGCCTGTTCTCTGAAAGAAGAGAAGCGACCACCAAGGGAAGCCCACACACTGCAGCTGGAGAGTAGCCCTTGCTCCATGCAGCTAGAAAAAGCAGCAATGAAAACTCAGCACTGCCATAAATAAATAGAAAAAAAAATTAATTACTGAATTGGTGATAGTTTTATTATTTTATAATCAATTAACTTGCAAGCCCAGAAAATGCATATAATCTATAGTGGAATGTTTCTGAGTATTTTGCACTCATTTGGAAAATGGTCCTAATGTAATCTTTCCCTGTTTATCAAGAGTTAATTCGTCTGGAGGGAAGCACATTTCAAAACAACTCAAGAGACTCCCCTGACTGGGGGTACTGGAGAGATGAGGGCTGATTCATGCGCCATCTAGTGGCATTTGGGGTAATCTGCAAGCCAGTGGCCCTCGAAGTGAAGTGAAGAAAAAGTTGCTCAGTCGGGTCCGACTCTGCGACAGGGACTTTCACCCGCCAGGCTCCTCTGTCCATGGAATTCTCCAGGCAAGAATACTAGAGTGGGTTGCCATTTCAGTGACTCAGAAGAGAAGAAATAGCTGCGCCGCTGAAATTACTCATCTGCAGCAATTGGTCAAGAGAAATTGAGAATGATTCTTTAAATGTTTTAGAAGTTTGTTGAAATTTTAATTTGTGAAAAATACATTTTAAATTTTAGTTCTAAAGATATATAAGTAGAGAAAAGCAACAAAAATGTGCTTGATCGCGTCATAAAGAAAAGACTAGTCTGGACCATCGGAGAATTTAATAGGTGCAAAAGACAGTGAGAAATGGTTGCCCGTTTTTCATGAAGAAAGAAAAACCAGGAAGCAGGCAGTCATGTTGATCAAGCACAGGGGTGCGAACGTTTTCTGTAAAGGACCAGAGAGTGAATAGTTTAGGCCATTTGGGTTGTGCAATCTCTGTTATGACTGCTCAACTCTGTCCATCTAGTGTGAAAGCAGCCATGGACAATGTACACACAAGTGTCCCTGAACGTTTCA